GAAACATGCCCTTGAGAAGTGAAATTGGGAAAAGAGTCCTGGTGTACAGAGTTGAGGAGCTCCATTATATTTTTCTTTCTTTTGTATATTTCTTATTTAAGTGGATGTGCAGAAATTGTTTAGACTTTTGTCAGATTTTCTCCCATTAGTTGGGCTACATTATACCTGTTTAGTAATATTATTTGATGAACAAAGATTCCTAATTTTATTTTATTTATTTTATTTTTTTTTTTTAAGATTCCTAATTTTAATAATGTTTATTTGTTAATTCTTCTTTATGGTTAGTGTTTTTAGTGTTCTTTCACATTTATCCTTACTTACTCAATGTCATAAATGCATTTTCCTATATTTTCTCTAAAATCATTATTGCCTTAACTTTCGTATTTAAATCTAAAATCTATTGAAAATTGATTTTTCTGTGGAGTGTGAGGAGAGTGTGGGTACCTTTTATCTTCACTTGCTGTTCAACTGGCCAAGCATCCTTCATTAGACTGACCACTCCTGCACCCACCGTATTACAGCATCAGCTTCGTCACAGCCAGCGATCTCACATGCACGCGTCTTTTCTGACTGTATTCTGATCCGTTTGCCAGGCTGCCTATCTTTGGGACCACATTACAGAGTGCTAATTATTATGATTCTGAATAAATCTTAATATCTCCTCATGTACTCGTCCCACCTTTGCTGCCCCTGGATATTTGATTTGCTTCTTTTTAAGTGTTGTTATGTCCATTTGGCTTTCAAAATCAATCTGGTGATTTTCACAAAAATGTCCCTGGATTTCTTTTTATCAGTACATGTTTGTGATACATAATGAATACATTCACTGTGGGAAGTCGGTACAGGTACGGATTGTGTCTTCGTTCTTCGTGCTTCCCCTCCCTCTCTTCCTGCTCCATCCCTAGCTCTCCTTCCCCCCTGTTTCCTATTGTCTTATTTTGCTCATTAAGTTATATACACCTTGGGTTTCCACTGGAATTGGGCTAAATCAGAAGATTAGTTTGAAGCAGCCTGACACGGTTCTATCACAGAGTCTTCCAGAGGTGAATATGCTGTCTCCCTCTATTCACTTAGGTCTTCTAGAACGTCTGTCGATGCAGCTTAAGATTTTTAGGTATGGAAATCTAACATAATTTATTGGGATTTACTTCTATGATGTTATTTCACACTGCAGTTGTTTTTTGTTTTTTGCTTTTGTACTGGGGATTGAACTCAGGACCTTTCATTTCCCAGGCAGGCGCAGCACCACCGAGCTAAATCCCCAGCCCGAGACTGTGGTTTTTCATTTGTTTCTGTTTGTTGATGGTATATGATAATATAGCTGACTTTTAAACACTAACCTTGCTTTAACAACTTGCTACAGTTAATTATTCATTCTGATATTTGGAAATTCCATCATCTGTCAATAAAGATAGATCGTTGCCATAAGAGTGGTTTTAGTTCTTTGGTACTTTTGGAAGGACTCAATGGAAAGGCCCTACAGTGAGTGGGCCTTTTCTTTATGCAGCATCTTGCTATGAAACAGCCACACACACCATTCCGTCTTGTCCAACACCATAAATCTTAACTCTGATCTTTTCCCACTCTGCAGCACAGGGGAAAACCAACTCAACAAAGCTCTGCCTAATTCTCAGAGTTTCTCACGTTTTCAGCCCAAATACATCTAATCATTTTAAATCTCTATGTTTCTCTTAAAAATGCCATAAGTGTTTTTCCTTTTCCTCCACAGAAAGATTATTTTCTTACGAAAATGGAGCTACAAATAACTACCATCAAGTACCAGTGAGACAGCAGGGAAATATAGGAACTTTACATCTGGCGTCCTTGTGCTTTTGACAGACATCTTGTCCCCCCACGTAGGGCACCATGTTCCACCCTGGAGAGGGAGAGCAAATTCTGACAAGGCTCTCGTATTGCGACAGTGATGTCTTCCTTCTTATCGGTTCTCCTCCTCTGTGTGCACATAGTAAGACGACAGCGGCACACACAGGAAGGAAGTCCTCTTATCCCTAAGGGGAGGTTTGAGCTCAGTTAATGCTGATAAGCATGCCTGACACCAAGGGCCTTGAATGCAAAGGGTGCTGTGAACTTCTAAAGTCCAGAGGAAGACCTGGACCCTTGAAAGCCAGTATAGCACTCACTGTATCATTGTGGAGAAAAAGAGAGAAAACGGTGCCACAAAACATCCATTTTTATCAAAAGAAAACCCTTAGGAGATGGATCTACACTAGTCAACAAAGTGAATATATTAAAACATATTTGATTTGTGATCATTTATTTATATTCAAGACATTCCCGGGTTCAAACTTTCACTCCTTTGATGCAAGTGACTCTGGCAGCCAGCAAGTGAACTGTAATTTCCCCTCTGATGGAGAAAGAGCTATTTAATGCTGTGGGTCATGACATGCTGGTCTGACGAGGGGAGGCAGGGCTGCCAGGATCAGGAGTTAAAACCTTCATATTTCATCCCGGCGAAGTCTACCCAAGCATTTAATTTCACATAAAGCATCTATTTTTGGTATCCTCTAATCTGCAATCCATCAGACAAAATCGTTTCTTACAAAAACATCCTTTTTTTTCATATGGGAGGCAGGCGTACTGCAAATTATTTATTAATTTCAATTTTCACACCGTATTTGTCTGATAGAAGTGGTTTTCCTTTTTCAAGCAAAGATCACTTTGCTCAGAATTTTTTTGCCCAATATGCCCCGCCAAGGTCAGAATACTCTAACTAGAGACAGCTCAACGTCAAGTTCTCTCTGCTGAGAGAAAAGTACATAAATCCTCCTCAAAACAAAACTTCATATGCATAATGTGACACATTTCAATTTACTTTTAGTGTGGTCTTCACACTAAGAAATTGTAATATTTTAATACAATCAGCTCAAATCTCTTAATTCAAAAGCTTCTGTAATATAAATCTAGTTTAGAAAACCATGTTTATCCTTCTAGGTATCTTCCCCAAAGAGTTAGACATCATACTACAATCATCCATGTAGATCCATGTTTACAGCTGCAAAATTCATAATAGCTGAACCTCGTAAGTGGCCTGTATGTCCATCAATGGATGAACAGATAAAGAAAATGTGATATTTTGTTTTTTTGGTACCAGGGATCAAACTCAAGACCTTGTGCTCCTGAGGCAGGTGGCGACACCACTGAACTAAATTCCCGGCCCAAGAAAATGTGATATTTACACACAGTGGAGTACTACTGTGTCATAAAGAAACAAAAACTTGGGTTGTATATAGAAAAATGAGGCATCTGCCTCATCAGGGACTGTCAGCTTCATGTTACTGTAACAGTGCCTGCGGGAATAAACTGAAAAAGACAGAAAGAAGCCAGGGACAGCGGCACATGCTTGTAATCACAGCCGCTCACATCCAGTCATTCTTGCCACTTTCTGAAGCTGCTCTGGAGTCCTCTTTCCTCAATGTCTTAAAGAGGTGTGATCAAAAATATGGTGACTGCTGCTGCTGAGTGTGTCCCGCAGAAAGGCAGCTCCTAAAAACGTGACACTGTGTCCTCATCCACCTCAGTCACCAGATCTGGCACTGAGTGATTTCTGGCTCCTCCTTAAAAACAATATGACCACGAGAGGGAAACATTTTGAATGAATTCAGGTCATCGAGGCAGCCACAAGAGTGAAGACACTCAGGAAAGAGGACTCCAGAGCTGCTGCGGAAAGTGGCAACAACAGTGGGTTAACCCATAGTGTGTTGACAGCGAGGGAGAGGATTTTGAGGGGATTCATGCCAATGCCTTTTGCTGTAATAGATGTTTTTGATTTAAACATTCACTACCGTTTTGATCACACCTCACACAATAGCACTGCAAACTGCATGGATTCCCGTCCACTTCGCGGAAGCATCCTGACATTTTGGTTTAAAAGGACACACACACACACATGCACAGACACATGCACACATGGCAGGCTCCTAGCCTTCTTCCCCCTCATCTGCTGGCCTCATACCTCATGGACTCTTCCAAATACACATAAAAGAACAGGCAAGCCCATGAGAATCCCATTCCATAACACTTCCCCTTGGACACCATCCACGGACGTCCAGGGAGAATGCACCACTTCCAGGGTTCCCACCTCTGATACACTGCTGGGCTGTTCGGACTTTCCTTCAGCAGCAACTCCATTTCCTCTTCCACTAACAGCTCAAGAGGGTCACAGGGGCTCAGTGTGGTGCCCTGGGGAAGGCCCCCCATTTAGATGACATTTCTGTGGATTCTCAGCACTCTGGGGTCACCGTGAATGCCCTGGGTCACCATGCACCCCAGTCTGCCTGCCACTTACACAGCCGTGTCACCCAATCATCAAGCCTGAGCCCAGCCAGGCTCATAGACAAAGCCATCACGAGTGGGCCCCGAGATGCACCGTGTTCAGTCCCTGTGGCGTGCCCCACCATGACATCCAGAGAGCCCAGTCCTTTCTACAGGGAGGGTACCGGGTCCAGGACCTTGCAGAGCAGGGCGACTCCCAAGACAGTGCTCTGCCCATGGGGACAGGGAGCCTCTTCCTTCAGGACAAGGACAAACTCTCCCTTGATCTGTGAGGGTCAAGGGCATCTGGTGTGTTTCCCTAAAGCAGCCCTGGCTTCCCATCTCACTGGGAATCAGGGTAGAGCGAGGGGGGCTTTTCCTGCCTCATCTGCTCATGAAAAATATTCAATTATGATCCAAGTTTAATTCACTTAGTAATGAAAAGCAAATGATCTCAAGCAGCATGTTTGATTTGTCTTGGAAAGAGAGAAACAGCTTTGCAAGAACAAACAGAGTTAAGTTAAAATAAGTGAGTCTCCTCAGAGGTGGAAATTGCATTTCTCCCCAAAGAAATTCTGAGCATCCATAAAACACCGGCTGACACCGGGAAGACACCGGAAGTGCTAGTACCCAGCAACTCCCCACCAAACACCAGACGCGCCCGTGCACATGCACGCGCCACACGTCTATGTGGACACATCCCGTCCACCGGTGTGCGTTGCACGTACCGTTTTTGCAGATGGGGCAGCACTGGTCGGGCTCATACACAGGGTCCACACACTCCGTCTGGGGACACGCCGACACCGTGCATAGCACCTCCCCGTTGGCCTCGCAGCGACACCGCTCACAGGGGGACACCTGGAACACAGGGCTGGGGTCAGCTCAAACCTCCGCAATGCTTGTCCCATGAAAACCCAGCGTTTTTATCCTCCCGAACCGCTGTGGCGACACTCACGGCTCTTAAGAATGGTAACAAGAGCACGAGGCCAGTGGCTTTCTGGGGGACACGGGTGTCTTGGTCCCCTAGGAACAAAAGCTCTCGGTCAGGCCAGGGGCTCTGCTTCCCTCTCTGCTCCCAAAGTTAGCTGGGGTGCTCGGGCATCTATTCACATGGTTTCCACAAGAGCTTTCTTTGGAAGAAGCATTTCTGTTTTTTAAAACAATCAATCAAATAATAAACCACTAATAAGCAGCTACCCTTACGTGGGTAAGGTAGCACCCCCTTCCCACAGCCCTGCTGGCTGGACCCTCCCAGGGGTCCCAGTGAGGAGGCGATGGGGTGGGGAGACCGGGAAGGGGAGAGCTGGGGACCCTAAGTGTCCCAGCCTGGCCTTTGCCCCAAGCTGCATGACGGCTGTGTATCTGAACTCTTCCTGTAACGACTAAATACCCCGACTAGTGCCACTGGCTCTGCTTACAGATGAGGAAACTGAGACGCAGAGGCACCAGGCAAGCTGCCCTTGGCAGATGTTTCCCAAGAGGCTCTCATGTCACCAAGGGTTCCTGACCACCACTTTCAAGGGTTACAGTGATTTTCTACATTAGGTTCCAATTTGTCTCTCGATTGTCCTGCAGTGGCCCAAATTCTCCTTTTTGGAGCTGTTCAAGTCAAGCACAGTCCCATTTCTGGAAAAGTCGCGCAGTGCCTACTGACTGAAACCTCACAGAGAGACCAACACAGTGTTCGGTGTAGATGAATTATTTTCTGGAAAGATGGGGTGGTTTCGGATCTGAGCTGAAACAAGGCAAGGCACAAGCTGCAAATGCAATCCCAGCGGTCGGAGGCAGAAACTGGAAGTGAATAAAGCCAGGCATGGCGGCACACCTGTTATCCCAGCACTCAGGGAGGCAGAGGAAGAAGGTTTGGAAGATAGAGCCTGATTAGGATAACTTAGTGTGATCCCTTCTCAAAATAAATAATAAAAAATTTAAAAAGAAAGCTGGGACCCGAGCTCAGTGCAAAGGCACTGTGTTCAATCCCCAGTGGTGCAGTAAGTAAATAAATAAAAGGGAACAGTGGAAATGACAGGAGGTGTTGCAAACTGACCTTCCTGCTCTCCCGGGCCCGGGAAACCCCGCTCCCTGACTTGTGTGCACCCCAACATGCCTGAACTCTCAGGGGGGGAAGCAACGCTGGCAGTGCATGGGGTCTTTCTTCCATGAATGCAAGGCAAACATGGGGGACCGGGATCCCCACTTGTGGACTGGTCGGGCAGGAGCTCAGTCTGGGTTTGACTGTCTATCTGTGGTTCCGGACTCCAGTCAACCTGCTGTGAGCGGGGACTTAGCATGCACGCATGGTGGGTGTTGTTCCCATTTGTCTCCATCTCCCCCATTTACTTCCCGGTGCACACCGCAGCATGTGCACGGCCCATGGTGGGGACACCATGCTGGATCTGCAAAGCAGAGCCCTTGAGGGCCTGAGATACTGCTCACTGCATGCCCCAGGGCTCCAGCCCAGCACCCAGGTGCAGAGGGGGAGGCAGAGAATGGCCATGCAGACCCTGAGGAGGGGGGAGCCCATCCCTGTCCTGACAGAGGGCACAGGGGCAGCCAGGGCCAGAAGGCCTGGCATCTGGGTGCAGCCCTGGGAGGGACACAGCCTGGCACCTTCCCCAGGCCTCAGCTGTGCTCGGGCGGGAGCCAACAGGAGGAGACTGGGCTTAGCCAGGCCCCCGAGGCCACATGCAGCCACGCAGCTTCCTGTCGCAAAGGCTCCAGGGGCTGGGCAGGAGGCCTGAGCGGGCCTGGTGCAGGGCTTTCTGCACGAGGGGGACTTGCAGTGGCTGGGGATCACTGGCCACCTAGGAGACCCTCCTGCCTGCCCAGGGCTGCAGCTGGGGCTGTCCATCCACAGAATGCAGCTCGAGGGCAGGCAGCTGTGCTGGCCGGCTCTCTTCTTTTTCCTTTGCTTGCTTGCTTTCTTTTCTTCCTTCCTTCCTTCCTTCC